AGATATTTCAAAACTCCACACCAAGCATGTATAAAAGGAGACATTTAAGAATTAAGGGTACAGTAAGATTAAGAAATTAAGGGAAACCATGCTGATATAATATTGACGGGCCTCATTAATAAGTAGGACAGCGAAGATCCTTATTCCCTTCAACTCACTGGCATCTTGAGAAAACCTCTGGGGGAACAGATTTCATGACTAGATTGCAAATACCGTTATGTCTCCACACCCAGCCAGGACACCATCATTCCTCCTCTTCCGGAAAGCCTTCTATCAACATACCATTTTCATCACCAAAACTGTTGGACCTGTAGTTTATTTCCTTCTTCCAAGGTATTTAGTAATCTTGCCACTATTTCACTGAATATTGGCAGATGAACCAAGGCCCTTAAGTCAGAGACAAAAGATTTAATATACTCATGGAATAGTCAGCAGCATGAGCATCAGCATGTTTGTACTGGTTACCTTTGTCTCCAAGTCTCACAGGCGACACAAAGGGCCCACATGGACGTCTGCACATTGGGTTGTGTTACAGAAGAGTAATGCTGAGATTGTGGAACCTGGTTTATTTCAAATAGTAAGCAAGCGGGCTGTTCATCTCAATGGGAGAGATGACCTCATCTCTCATGGTTCCTCACTGCAAACACACCTCTGTCCTCAGCCTCTTCCTACACAGGCTAAGGTTAAATGTCCTTCTCAGGTGCTAAGGTGCTTACTCTCCCACAGAAGTATGAAACCAGGATCTGTCCTAACAGCAGGCAAAATCTCATTTTTCTAAACTATTCCCTTACTTGCATTCTGACCTTTCATCCAAAAGGATCAGCTGTGAGAAGGACGAAAGAATTTTTAGACAATTTACAGAGACATTATATGCCCCACCCTGGCTGGCATGAGGCACTGTAGATGGACTCTATAAGTAGGGAACTGATTCAAGTGGTCATTATCTTCACAATTATAGACCAGGTCAACAATGACAAGAAAATACAGGTAACTCTAAATCTGGTAGTCCCACTTTTGGCCAGGCTGCAACCTGGAAGGTGTAGAAACTACACCAGCCAAGCATTGCTATCAGAGGAATGAAAGCTATATCATTCCTAAACATAGCTAGGGTTGAATGGCACTTGTCCAAAATAAATCTAAAGAGCTACCCTATGTGCTGGAGCTCTACACGTTTCTTACATTTAAATGCTACAGTCTGAGTTCTTACATGCTGGGCTGTAGCAAATTCTGATTGTTTTCCACATTGAGTGAGTTCTTTCATATATTCAAAACAAACATGGACCCTTCTAGGCTTCTCCACGTTCCTCATGTTCGTAGGCCTTCTCTCCATTCTGAGTTCATACATGTTTACTAGTCACTGAGGACCAAGTGAAGTCTTTCCTGCACTCCTTACATTGACAGGGTTTCCCTCCACTGTCAGTTCTTATATGTTGAATAAGTCCTGAGGAAACAGTGAAGTCTTTCCCACAGTGCTTACATTCATATGGTTTCTCTCCAGTGTAAGTTCACATATGGAAGCAAAATGTTGAGGAATAAAAATATGCTTTATATATACAACGAAAACTAGAAGGCTTTCTCGAAAGAAATTGATGACGACATAAAGAGATGGAAAGACACTCCATGCACATGGACTGGAAGAATAAACATAGTTAAAATGTCCATACTACTTAAAGCAATCTACAGATTCAACACTATCCCAATCAGAATCCCAATGACATTGTAGAAATTGAACAAAGAATCCTAAAACTCATATGGGGCAACAAAAGACCCCGAATTGCTAAAGCAATCCTGAGAAAGAAGAACAAAGCTGGAGGCATCACAATCCCTGACTTCAAAGCATACTACAAAGCTACAGTAATCAAAACAGCATGGTACTGGTACAAAAACAGGTGCACAGATCAATGGAATAGAATTGAAAGCCCAGAAATAGAACCACACATCTATGGACAGCTAATCTTTGACAAAGGAGCTGAGGGCACACAATGGAGAAAAGAAAGTATCTTCCACAAATGGTGCTGGGAAAACTGGAAAGCCACATGTAAAAGAATGAAAATTGACCATTCTTTTTCACCATTCACAAAAATAAACTCAAAATGGATCAAAGACCTAAAGATTAGGCCTGAAACAATAAGTCTTCTAAAAGAGAATACAGGCAGTACACTCTTTCACATCAGTATCAAAAGGATCTTTTCGGACACTATAACTCCTCAGACGAGGGAAACAATAGAAAGAATAAACAAATGGGACTTCATCAGACTAAAGAGCTTCTTCAAGGCAAGAGACAACAGGATTGAAACAAAAAAAACTCCACTAGTTGGGAAAAAATATTTACAAGTTATTTATCTGACAAAGGGTTAATCTCCATAATATATAAAGAACTCACACAGCTCTCAACAACAAAAAAATCAAACAACCCAATCAAAAAATGGGCAGGGGACATGAACAGACATTTCTCCAAAGAAGATATAAGGATGGACAATAGACACATGAAAAGATGCTCATCATCACTGATGATCAGGGAAATGCAAATCAAAACTACACTAAGATATCACCTTATACCTGTTAGAATGGCAAAAATAACCAAAACAAAAGTGACAAATGTTGGAGAGGTTGTGGAGAAAAAGGAACCCTCATGCACTGCTGGTGGGAATGCAAACTGGTGCAGCCACTATGGAAAACAGTATGGAGATTCCTCAAAAAGTTAAAAATAGAAATACCTTATGACCCAGCCATCCCACTACTGTGTATCTATCCAAAGAACTTGAAGTCAGCAATTCCAAAAGTCCGATGCACCCCTATGTTCATTGCAGCATTATTTACAACAGCCAAGACGTGGAAGCAACCTAACTACCCATCAACTGATGACTGGATAAAAAAGATATGGTGTATATATACACAATGGAATACTACTCAGCCATAAAAAAAGATAAAATCGTCTCATTCACAACAACATGGATGGACCTTGAAGGTACTATGTTAAGTGAAATAAGCCAGACAGAGAGAGACGAACTCTGTATGACTCCACTCATAGGTAAGTTAAACAGAGACAAAGAGAACTGATTGGTGGTTACCAGGGGAAAGTGGGGGTGGGAGGAGGGCACAAAGGGTGAAGTGGTGCACCTTCAACATGACTAACAATAACGTACAACTGAAATTTCACAAGGTTGTAAACTATCATAATCTTAATAAAAAGTTAAAAAAATATATGCTTTATGATGTTTATCACACTCAAATGGCTGCTCTCCAGTGTGAGGTCTCAAATGTGTACTTAGATATGAGAAAGTAGTAAAGAATTTCCTATATTCATATTTAAAGTTTCCTCTCCAGTATGAACTCTTGCATGCCCAGTTATGCTTAAGGAAACACTGAAGGCTTCTCCACATTTCACACATTCACAGGATTTCTCTCCAGTGTGAATTCATTTATGTGTAGTTAAGCCTGAATGCCCACTGGAAGCTTTGACATATTCATTGCATTCATAGGGTTTCTCACCAAAGTGAATTCGGCTATGGTCAGTTAAGGCTGAATGGCTACTGAAGGGTTCCCCGCATTTAGTGCATTTGTAGGGTTTCCCTCCAGTGTGCATTCGTCTGTGTTTAATTAAACTTCCCTTATAAAGGTAGGCTCTCCCACATTCGTTGCATTCATAGGATTTCTCACCAGTGTGAAATTGGTTATGGCTAGTTAAGATTAAATGGCTATTGAAAGTTTTCCCGCATTCAGTGCATTCATAGGGTTTCTCTCCAATGTGCGTTCGTTTGTGTTTAGTTAAGCTTGAATTGCAAATGTAGGCTTTCCCACATCTGTCACATTCATAGGGTTTCTCACCAGTGTGAATTCGGTTATGTCTAACTAAGACTGAACGGCTATAGAAAGCTTTCTCACATTCAGTGCATTCATAGGTTTTCCCTACAGTATGCATTCGTTTGTGTAAAGTTAAGCTTGAATTGTAAACGTAGGCTTTCGCACATTTGTTGCATTTATAGGGTTTCTCACCAGTGTGCATTCGGTTATGGCTAGTTAAGGCTGAAGGGCTACTGAAGGCTTTCCCGCATTCAGTGCATTCATAGGGTTTCCTTCCAGTGTGCGTTTGTTTGTGTCTAGTTAAACTTGAATTGTTAATGTAGGCTTTCCCACATTCGGTGCATTCATAGGGTTTCTCACCAGTGTGAATTTGGTTATGTCTAGTTAAGACTAAATGGCTACTGCAGGCTTTCCAGCATTCAGTGCCAAGTCTTCTGGAGTGAATAAAAGCTGTTCCACATTCCTTTCCTTCATAGAGTTTTTTTTCATTGTGACTTCCTAGTTGTGCCTGAAAGTAAAACTGATTAACACAGGCTTTCCCACTGTCACTGCATTTGAACCCTTTCTGTTCCATGCTAGTTTTGCAGGATACAATATCTGGAGTAAGGCTGATGGCCCTTCCCCCACATTGATTATCTTCATAAGTGTTTCTTCCATTTTGAGTTCTCCTGTGTGTCTTAAGACACGATTGTCCACTGAAGTCTTTTCCACGTTCCTTACACTCACAGAGTTCCCATCCAATGTGGCTTCTTTCCTGTTGATGAAGGTGGATTAAACAATTTCTCAGATCATTAATTCATCTTGCCCATCTCGAAACAGAAACATTATGACAATGCTGATTTGATTTGTACAATTTCCATTACATTTGTACAACTTCCTACCCTCTTGATTTCTTTCAAATTGAAATACGGAATCCTGGTCAAATGATGTGTGATCTATTATGATCTTAAGAGATTCCTATACAGTTTCACGGAATTGTTTAAAAAAATCAATGCCTAGTTATGTATGTGGGAATGAGAACTTGTGAGAATTGTGAAGTAATAAGGTTCAAGTTAGATCAAGTTAGACATTGTTCTCTCGGGTGAATGCCACTAATCTCAAATATCTCATTTGTGCGGATCTTCTACCAAATGAAATTCCAATCTTTAGTAAATGTGGAAATAAGAAATATCTTTGTTCAAACTTACTCATCTTACCATTTCTATCCTATTGGATGTTTTTTCCCCTAAAATATCCTGCAGAGGAATTGCCAAGTCTTTGGTTTTAAGATGCACTTCTGATTCTAAAGTAAAAGAGAGTAACAAATATAAAATTTACAAAAAGAAATGGTAGGATAAAGGAATTAAACTAAGATTCCTTTATATTATTTACAATTTAAACATGATGAAAAGAGCATGACAGATTTGAGCAGTTTCACTAGGTCAACAATTTAACAATGATAAGGATGTGGAGGCAAAACTGAGTAACTGATGGAAAAACAATTCTATGGTAATTAAACATGATGGGAAAAGAGAATATTATTCAGGGAAGGAAACTAAGCAAGCTCTAGACTAAGAGCATAAATCAAAATAATAAACTTGAAAGGAAAAACAGAATAGGTCATTTTGTGAGATCATAGGAAATTATGAGTAAATGTACAGAATACAAAGTTGAAAACGTCGTAAAGCATCAGACACGAATGACCTCAGCCTTCTGAGAGAAACTACATCTTAAGAAGTTTCTTCTTTATAATTCAAAACATAATGAAACATTCATTGACCAGAGAAGATCTTTACAATCACTCACCTTGGAAGACTCCTCCCTCCGCTGTCCTCAACTCTTCTTGTTCCAGCCAGGAGATCACACTGGGTTTCAACAACTGATAGCCTGTCCATGAGGAAAGAGATATTAATGGACAAGCCTCCTGTAAAAGATGACAAATACTTCCACAAATCAGGATCTATTTTTCTGTTGATTACACTAAAATTATTACCAATCAGATAAAAATGTAAACATCCTCTTTCTGTGCCCCAAAGATAGTTATTTCTGTCCCAAAAAGAGATTTTCTTTCTCGTGGAGAAACCACCACACTAGTAGTTGTCACTCTAGTGTCCATCAGAATCATGTCACAGATGACTGGGCCCCGATGCCAGAGTTTCATTCAGTACATCAAAGTGGAGTCTGAGAATGTACATTTCTAACAGAGTGATGGTGAAGCTGTTAGCCCTAAAAACCGTATTTTAGACCAAGGATGCTGAATTAAAACCCATCAGTGTATAGACTATGTATCTGTTATTTCCCGTTGTGTTCAAATTCGACATCACCTATCCTGGACCATGGCAAGTATACAATGTTCACTTGTTCCATAGGAGGTTACAGCAGTGATGGCAGCCTTACCTAGTGTCGTCAGGTTCTTGTAGTTCTCCAGCATCACATCTCTGTATAGGTTTCTCTGAGTTAGGTCCAGTAAAGCCCACTCCTCCTGGGTGAAGTCCACAGCCACATCGTCAAAGGTCATGGAATCCTAAACCATCACACACAAGCTGGATTCAGTAAAGTAACATCTCCATCAATGTTCACTGGGGAATGAAGAAGGCAGACCCAATGGCAACAGAGGGTTTCAAGGTCTCTCGTCATCTCCCCGAGGGTGCAATGCTCCTAAGGACTCTTCTCTCTATCTACACTCACTCACGGTTGATCTCCTCCAGTTACAGTTTTAATAGACTCTCTAACACACGAGCTTATCTCACCACAACTAGACTAAAAGCTCTTCTCATCTTATTTCCCTCTTGCAAACACTCCCGAAAAAACTGTAGATATCTGTAAATGCTGATGAATAAATAAATTCTTTGGAGAAATGCACACTCTGATCTTCCTTACCGTCTGTCAGTGCACCAAATAATATAAAAATTATGCAGCCACCCTCATCAGAGTCAATGTTCGGCAGTAATAATCCAAATACTCGGATTATTCAGAGTAAGCCATCACCGTTATAAGGTACCACTTTGTGAGGAAATTCAACAGGAACTCCATCCTTGAGGGCCTGTATTTCTTTAAGAAGTTCTGGAGACAGATCCACTTAGAAGGAAATGTGTCTGTCTGGTGGATGCAGTATTTCATGCTGTAGAATATACACCTGTTCTCACCTGAGAACAATTTGTCAGACAGTCAGTCATCATCCTTTCTGGCTCTATCTTTTCCTCAGCAAGGCAGAAAGGTCATTAGAAAGACCTAGGAAAAAAGAAAGAAGCCATGAGGACACACAGGTGACCCTAATTCCCACAGTCATCTGCCTAGAAATCATCCCTTTCCAGCTTGAAATTCCCAAATAGCCTTGCACACTCAAGAAAATCCACCCTACTGCCACCAAATGACAAGAGTAGTCCTGTCTCACGTGAAGCCACAAAAGGGGATTGTGAGCCGTACTGCCCATCAAGAAGAGTAATTGTTTCATTTTACAGATAAGGAACCCGAAGCCCTGAGTAATTTTGAGTCTTACTTGTCAAAGCAATAGAATTCATGAATCAGCTTATGCAGCAACTCTACCTGATGAATACATACCAGGAAGCAGACTCAGAGAAGAGCATTCTCTGGCCCACTTCAGCTCCTCCTAGATGAACCCGCAGCACGAGTGCCCAGGCCCAGACCAAAGGACTCTATATCATACAGGGAGAACTTAAAGCAGCCTCTGAAAAAGCGCATTACCAAGGAGTTACCATGGGACAAATCAGAGGTCACCATCCTGCAAGACTGATTAGTGAAATTTGCCTGCAACACTCCTTTCCTTGAACTAAGATTACTTCAGGGTCGCTTATGAATATAAGTGAATAGGGCCATCTCCCTCCCTCTGGAGATTGGGTTATCTGGAGTCCTGCTTCCTATCAATCATTAATCAATAAGTATTAATTATCAGTCAATGTGATAACTTAGCTCTTTCTACGCAGATGACCTAGTTGAAAACTACTAAAGACGTATGCTTCACAACAAGCACCAGTAAGATCAATTGCTATTCACTGAGGACCGTTATCTACCTGATGTCTCACTAGAAGCTTGGAGCTCACTTTTATATTTTGAACAATTTGGATACTGGAATCCACTCTTTCAACTTCAAATTTTGTGTAATCTAAACACAAATCAAATATATCTGATAAAAAACCTAATGTCCAGTGAATTTTGAACACTTTGAATGAGGAAAATAATGCCAACTATCTCAATTTTTAAATACTGAATACATACTTAGTAGTACTTTAGTGTATACGGGGTAAAATAAAATACATTCTTAGAAATAATCTGACTTTTTAGATTTTTATCACTGGTACTGAAAACATTTTCATCACATACACAATCTACACATTATATTTGTATTGAACAGCTCTGGTGTAGGCTCCTGCCAGGCATATGAAGGAAGAAAAACTCAATATTTTATTCAGTCAACACCCTTGAGCTTCCCTTGATGGACGTCTGGAGAACCTTGAAACTATGAGCCTCCTTTTAAGTTCTTATCACTGGCTTATTCCTTTACTCTTTCAGTAAATAATCAAGTTATGTCCCTGGGCTAGGCACTCAGTTGAGAGCAGTAACATATAAAGAAAACGTCTTAGGCATTAAAGATCCTACATTCAGGGGCTGGCCCCGTGGCCGAGTGGTTAAGTTTGCGCGCTCCGCTGCAGGCGGCCCAGTGTTTCGTTGGTTCGAATCCTGGGCGCGGACATGGCACTGCTCATCAAACCACGCTGAGGCAGCGTCCCACATGCCACAACTAGAAGCACCCACAACAAAGAATATACAACTATGTACTGGGGGGCTTTGGGGAGAAAAAAGGAAAAATAAAATCTTTAAAAAAAAAAAAGATCCTACATTCATATTGGAGAATGTGGACAATAACAGTTGATATGTCAATTCACAACTGCCATGGGAAAACAATCCAGAAAGGGAGAAAATAAATGGTCTCTCTGACTGACACACACACACACTTGGAAAGCACATAAATTATTCTGATTTATGGACAAGAAAAAAGAAAAAAAGGGAAATAATCACTGGTTCTTCCACATTTTATCCAAAAACTTTAGAAAACGTACATCAAAATTTTTACAAAAGAAGTCAGAAGGCATTCGAGTACTGGGAAGCCCCGTCAGGTCTTGATTGGAAACACTTAAATCAAACAGGTCTGCACTATCCCCTTGCCTTAAAAAAGAGGCAATGCTACATCATACTTTCCCCAACATTGTCTTTTCATTTTCCACCAAATTTACTTTTACGTTTATTCATTTCTTCCACAAATTTTCTTCATGTTTGTCTTTCAACATTCTGTATTTCAAGGTTAACTTCTCTTTGTTAAAACTCAGTAACCTTCAATAAATCAAACACACGCCAAGAGGCCAAATGCTGATCTACAAAATGGTATCTGAATGATGACAAACACTGAAAATTCTACGGTTCATTATCTATGAACCAGTATCACCCTCACAACCCCACAGACCTTTTCGTACAGTTCAGAAGACTAAAACTCACAAACACACACAGTCACAAAAATGTGTCCAGATTCATAGTACAACTGTACTTACAACCACGGTTCTCAAACTGGGGGTCCTTGGACTTAAAAAGCCTATGAATGTGTTTAGTAGAGATGTCTGCATCGAATGTTTTACTTTTCTGTCTATTTTGTAATTGAGATATAATTAATGTACAATCAAATTCAGAGACCTTAAGTATTTAGTGGAAGAGTTTTGACAATTTCATTTACTCATGTGATCACCTGTCTAAACAAGATACAGGGCATATTTATCTCCTTAGAGAGCTTCCTTGCCTCTTCCAATCCATTCCTTACTCATTGCTCCCAGACAAGCACTGTTACTAGTTACTGGTTCCCATCTACAAGTTACTAAATACACTATTTTACATATTAGGCAGTTTACACATTACTTTCAAATGCATATCCTAATCGATGTTCCTCTATTACTTAGTGAAAACAATATGAGTGAAATAATAAAATCTCCCACTAGAATTGTGGACTTGTCTATTCTTCCACTTCTGTCACGAAATTCTTAATATATTTGCAACAATATTATTGGTGGGTACACAATTGAATTTTCATATTTTTGGAGAAACAGAATCTTTTATCCTAGTGACCTCTGTATCTGTAGTAACACCTGTGAACAATGTTGTCTGACGTTAAGGTCAGCTTTCTTTTAGAAAGGTGTTGTTTTGGGTGCTAATGATTGCATTACATGGAGTGGCACAGAGCCTGGCTCACTGAAGGCACCCAATGATTGGTCGTCAACAGACAATGCAGATTCCTCACACCACTCTTCAAGTGTACCTACATTACAGCTAAATAACTGTTCAGAAAGCAATATACATCTCAGTTTTCAGAAATGTATTTAATTACCTTAAGAATGTTAAGGGTGGGCGGAACACTGTCCTGAGCACTCATCCACTCTCCTCTGCTTATCGGGACCCCAGCCAGTTGATTCCCACGGCCTCCTTATATGCATACTTAGTGCCCTAGTTCTTGCACAGGCAGTGCAACCTCAATTCACTCTCCACATCTACCCACCAGTCATAGCTTGTCTGCATTCCAGACGGCTGCTTCCTGCTTGCCCACTGTTGACTAGCTCATGCCCTTGCAATCTTGCAAATTTCTTCACCATCAAAAGGGCTGCCATGCCATCTCCAACAAGGTGTGAAGTCAAGTCTGTAGAAGAGGGCTACTGTACAAGTTCGGCCTTCTTTTGGGACTCTTAATCAACTCTAGGTTATTCATAAGAATTCTCTTTACATCTTTATATTAAACTCCTGTTTAAATTAAAGTATCATTTCTATCTCTTGATTTCATGTAGATTTATACAGAATCGAACAGAACAGTGGTCCCTAGAGACAAAGAAGCAAAGACGAAACTTGGGGATAGGTTTAGTCAAGCCTTTAAACTTCAGCAAAGAGCTCACCTCCTTGCCAATGGGAAACACATTCACAGAGTCACAATGGTCAAGCTAGGACCTTTGGTTGATTGTGATACAGTGCCAACTGAAAGACGTGCCTTGGGAGAACAAGCAAACACTACAATTAACAATGACAGCAATACTGATGATTATAGTGATTGTGATGAGGGATGGATTCTTTTTGAGAGTAGTTGCCCAGAAAACGGCCAGCTCAGATCTGCTATCTTGGAGCTCAAATCAATGTCTGTGACCAGACAGATTTCATGACAGCTCTTAAAAGGTCAGGTCCTACTCTTTTACACCATTCACAAAAATACACTCAAAATGGATCAAAGACTTCAAGGTAAGACGTGAAACCATAAGACTTCCGGAAGAAAATACAGGCAGTACACTCTTTGACATCAGTCTTAAAAGGATTTTTTCGGACACCATGTCTTCTCAGACAAGGGAAACAATAGAAAGAATAAACAAATGGGACTCCATCAGGCTAAAGAACTTCTACAAGGCAAGGGAAAACAGGATCGAAACAAAAACATAACCCACCAACTGGGAAAAAATATTCGCAAATCATATATCTGACAAAAGGTTAACCTCCATAATAGATAAACAACTCACATCACTAACAACATCAAACAACCCGATCAAAAAATGGGCAGGGATATGAACAGCCATTTCTCCACAGAAGATATACAAATAGCCAATAGGCACATGAGAAGACACTCAACATCACTGATCATCAGGGAAATGCACATCAAAACTACACTAAGATAGCACCTTCCACTGTTAGAATGGATAAAATAACCAAAGCAAAAATTAAATAAATGTTGGAGAGGTTGCGGAGAAAAAGGAACTCTCACACACTGCTGGTGGGAATGCAAACTGATGCAGCCACTACGGAAAAGAGTATGGAGGTTCCTCAAAAAATTAAAAATAGAAATACCATATGACCCAGCCATCCCACTACTGGGTATCTATCCAAAGAACTTGAAATCGGCAATTCCAAAAGTCCCATGCACCCCTATGTTCACTGCAGGATTACTGACAATAGCCAAGACGTGGAAGCAACCTAAAAGCCCATCGACTGATGACTGGATAAAGAAGATATGGTGTATATATACAATGGAATACTACTCAGTCATAAAAAAGGAGAAAATCGTCCCATTCACAACAACATGGAGGGACCTTAAAGGTATTACATTAAGCGAAATAAGCCAAATGGAGAAGACAATCTCTGTATGACTCCACTCATACGTGGAAGATAAACAAACGTGGACAAAGAGAACAGATTAGTGG